CCATCCGTTTATCAGTATCGGGTGGCGGGAGACGGAGAAGGCGATGACATAATGGGGATGGTTCAGAATGGACTTAGATTCTCAGTAGCGGGCCTGGAAATAGCAGGCTGATGTCATTGGGAAGAAGGCTAATGAATGTGTCTACGCTGGAATAGAAGCTCGGACGCAACCGCGCTGATAGCTGAGACGGACGGTTGTGGTTTTTATACACACACACACACACACACACACACACACACACACACACACACACACACACACACACACACACACACATTATTCATATGCAAAACAGGTTGTTAGAATGGTTACCCGCATAATGATGCTACACAAACACAGGCGGTAATCCGATGCTGCGCGGTACCAGTAAGTGCGGTGAGAAATTTCCAAATAGACATAGTGTGTGTCTGTCTGTGCGCGCCTGTGTCAAGGTTAACATGGCACGTAGACGCACCTGCATGGATGGATGGATGGATGAAAATAAAAAAAGATGGACAAATGGATTGACGGATGCAGAGAGTGATGAACAGATAAAAAAAGATGGATGAGGGGCGACGAGAGGATGACAGTTGGATGAGTTGAGTGCATGGGCAGAGCGATGGTTGGATGGTCTGCGGACCGGTACCGGGCCTCGATCTATTCGGGACAAAGACAAACCTGCGATCAAATTTACTCCATCAGACGTGGCAGAAATGTGCGTGACTCTCGCCAACCGGAGTCCCCCCCCCCCAAGCAATACAAAGAAACTAATAGTAAACAAATTGGCCAAATGAACAGCTAAACGCACAGTTGTTGGGCAGCCAGAGAGGAGTTCCGCCCGTGGCGGTATGTCCACAGCGACGTGGAGGAGGAAGCCGTTGCGCGCGGTATGGCGTCAAAAACAAGGTCATACAAGAAACCCGATGAGCAGTTTAGTCGCTAATAACTAGCCGGCAGCCACCGGATACAAGTAGCAATCAATCATGTCATCTTTTGATCGGTCACATTTGCAAGTAGCAATGATGCTAGCGCCGTACGTAGCATGATAACTTTAAAATTATTGTGTTTACTTAATAAGGCGTATTTATTCATCACGATTGGTCCAGCGTTTTATTTTAGCCGAACGGTCTCTCTTTTGAGCGAGCTTTCCTCCTTTTACCTGCGCACTCAATGACTCAGAGGCAGATGGTTCAGGACGCCACATGCCTTTCTCCTCTCCCGTTTCTTTGATGCCATCAGGAAGCGATTTCCATGTGACTCAGCACATAGAACGGATTCAAACATACAATGAGATCACACGAGGGGAGCGCAAGCGGTTTGCTACGAGCCCCATTCTTCACGCTTCAATGGAGCCTTTGTTTGGGATGCAGGTGGGCCTATGACACGACCTATGACACCAAAAACTATTGCAGGAGGGGGAAAAAAAAAAGCCATAAAACAAGTAAGCCGCAAATGTTCATCACACAATTTTACAGACATTTTAGCTCGCGCGAGATTTCAACATTTACAGTCCCGTCTGGCGCCAAAGTGTCCAAGAAGAATAGATCATACGGCATGACACACTTCCCCTACTTTAATTAGGGAGTATGACTTCATAAATGACAGCATAGTTCTCCATTTATGCACACTCAAACGCGCGCGGGCGCACACACACACTCACGTCCACCTGACCTCCTTCCAGGGACAATTTAATGCGAAGGGTGATGTAGAAGAGTTCCGAACATCTGACTTATGTTCGGGGGAAAAATGCCTGCAGGCCTCTTGTCATCCAATCTTTAGACTATGCTTTAAAGTAGACCATCAAATATACTCCATATTTTGTTGGATTTAAAAAAAAAAATAAAAGCGAAAAGAAAATGAGGCCGCAAATAAGTCATTTCAGAAAAAAAAAAACAAAGAGATAATATTAAAAGAACCACGAATGGCACCATTCATTTGGGATGCAGAACAACGGCTGTTAAGACACCTTGGAATGAGGACAGCTGCCAGCCAACAACTCGTTTGGATGGAATCACTCGATAATATTTGAGTCATTGTAAAAAAAAAAAAATGGTGCGAGAGGCCAAATGTGTCTGTGTAATTTGTTGGTGACTTTTTTAGAAGCTACGTTGTTGTTTTTTTTTTGGAAGCAGTCACATACTGTATTTTTGCCTGTCTGCCTGCCGCCGTCTCCTCCTCCTCCTCCGTTCAGAGATGGTCTCTTAACCTGAGAGCATGCGTAAAGTAAAAATAAATATGCCTTCGCAATCTGGCACACCACTGACAAGAACAGTGATCACAAATCATGGCAGATCTGAATTTTTTTTTTTTTTTAAATGTAGCGTTTTAAACTTTTTTTTTTTTTTTGTAATTGAAATGGTGAAAAACAGTTTATCAATATATTGCCATAAGTTAGTCCATCTTTCTGTCTTTGCACGTGTTTGTATAGTGAGTCGCAGTGGCAACCCCTGACAGGGAAAAGTCTCTAAATTCACGTCGCAGGGTCATGAACTGAGAAGGCCTACGTCACCTCTCTTTGTCTTACTTGAAAATCAGACAAAATGGTAATCAAAATGACACACTACCACTAGAACGGACCTCCATTGAAGCCATTTCCTTTTGTTCCCTTCAAAATGGGCGCTCCCCAAAGGCAGGAAATTCTTCTGGAGCAGCTCCAAAACCACCACCTCCTTTTTTTTTTCTATTATTATTGTTTTTCTCCCTCCCTTCACTGTCCCACTTCCCAGCCAGATATCCTAGAAGAACCAGTACAGTGCGTCCCGAACAGTGTGTAAACAAACCACCTTGCACCATTCCAGAAAACATCTGCCGTCAAATGCGAAATGCGGCATTTATAGACATGCGGGGCGAGCTTTGGTGGGGGAGAGATAACGTAATGAGACGTGAGGTCACTTGTTAAACTCCCACAGGAGATAACACTGGCACCACATGAAAACACACATGCGACTAGAATTCCCAAAATGAAAGCCACACACACACACACACACACACACACACACACACACACACACGCGCACACACACGCACACACAACGGCCACAAGATGCCACATTTTCTTTCTTGCCCCCAAAAAAACAAAGTCCATCCCTTCCAGTAAATGTAATAATGAATGCCGGCCAACTGGGCGGTCACATTACGTTGACTTCTGCTAACGTGTCAAATCATTGACAGAAACCTTTTATTGTCTACACATATTCACACTTACAAGTCATAAATCACGCCTGTTCCCATTCTTGTCTGCTGATAAGATGCAAAATAAAACAAAACAATTACATGCACAAGTTCCAGGAAAACTTATTTTTTCCCTCCCGAGGCAACATTTGGGAAACCCAAATGGATACCATTACGAGTGTGACAAGATAACTACAGACCTGAAATGGAACTTAGCGCAACATGTCTAAGATTTTTTTTAATACTATTTACATACATGAATACATGCATGAATACATGAAAGACAAAAATAAAATTGTAAATGAAATTAAAAGAAAGCTGTCATACAAGTGTGAATTTAATTTGACACATTACAAAAAAGTCCAATATTTGTAATTATTTTTCAATTATTATCAGAACACTGTAGCAATGTTGTGATTTTACGCATCAATAGCAAAGAAAAAAAAACGTTTTTTTTTTTTTAAAAGTCTTGTATGAAATTACACTTAAATCACGAGAAAAAGTCAGCATTTTCCCAAAACAAAGTAACACGTGCATTTGTATGAGACGAGAAGAGAAGTTTACTTCTACTTCATCAGCAGTTTTCATGATTGCCTGGAAATATTCACTTCACATTTCTTTTGGGCAAGAAGTGTTTAGAAACAAGAAAAAACTTGGAGTCAAACCAGCGTGACCGAACAGATTGCAATCTACTTCCCTTTTAGAAGTGGAACTTCAGTTTAAGGTTGAAAAGACAAAGCTGCACTGTGTAGTCTTGCCCATTACATGAAAGACAACAATCTATAGGAAGGAAAAGGAGGGCTCGTCTTGTTGTGGCCGCGTTCTAATCCTCTTTCTGAGAAACGATTCCCTCTGGAATCATTTACTGTCCCTCTCCAATGTTTCACCACTGATTTACTGTTCCGCTGTAAAAACACATACTGCTTGCAGCTACAGTGCATCTCCGACAAAATATGTGGCACAGTTGTATTTTGGACTGAGAAGCTTCAAGACTGACTACTTACGTTCCATACACTCGCCAGACTTCATTAGGCAAACCTGCCAAACCACACTATCATGACATCCAATCACAAGATCATAGTAATAAATAAATACATGGCCTTCATAAAGATATTCTAAGAAAGAGAGTTTTATGTATTCATAAGTTTTGGGTGTAACTCTGAATATGAACAAAACAAGACAAAAATATCAATATGCATTCATTCATTTTCTATCACTTGTTTCATTTAAATAATTTTCGAGGTATTTTGAAAGTTCTGAACATTTTTTTTCCTCTCCGTGTTGCCAAGTAGGAATTAGCTAATTTAAGGGAAAAGGCCACTTTCGTGTTAAAGGGGATACAACGAAATGCATGACGGGACAGCTAACAAAAACTACAAAAACGAAAATGAAAGCCACGAATGTTCAATACAAGAGCACATACACCGCATCCTTTTTATTTAGCAATTATGAAGCATTTACAATTATTCCGTGTATGTGTGTTTTCTAACTGTTTTATGACAAACAAAAAAAAACGGCGGGCGTTGAAATTTTGTAAGAAGCGACCAAACTCGAAGACCAAACGAAATGCATCTCGGGATATCAAGGAAGCTTCTTATGTGTTGTTTTTTTCATGTTTAGTGCTCATGCAGTCTTCTAACTTGTTGAAGAGAATAGTTAAATAAAAAAAAAATCTAACGAAAATAATAACATGAAAACGTTATCGCGGATGGCGATACCACTTAGCAGGTTTATCGGCCCCGCTTTGGGCACGATGCTAACATTTTGAATTAGCACGTCAGAAAAAAATGGAAACTGGTCAACATTTGGTTGTGGATGTTTGTGTTGCTGCGCAGTGCGCCCTCACTTACCCGTGTCACACTGATTTTACGAGACGAATCGTTTTCACGCGAGGTAGGGACGGCACTCGGTTCCCTCGTCGCCGTGCCCGGGCCAGGAGCAGGAGAAAGGCGGGGTGGGGTGGGGGGACGCTTCTGGGAAACAGTCTGGGCCTAATTGGAAGCGTCTCATGTGTATCCACTTAAACACACGTACAAAAAAAAAAAGAGTGGGGGCGCGAGGATCCCGCTGCTCGCCCACTTGGGTTTCCACCTGGGGAAGCTTCCACGCACGTTACGAGGCAGGCATGAACGTGCTAAGTGGGTTTCGATTTGGCATCGGGCCCACAACAGTAGGGCATACTGTCATACCGCAAGGACTGCTGCCTGATCGGTAATTGTAGACCTGGTTTCAGTTCGCCAGGTTTCTACATTCTGATAATAACAACAATTATAATACACAAGTCCCAGCCCTGTTTTGTATCGCCAACCACAAATGATAACCTTGAGATCTCTTGGCAGAAATTCTTTATTATGTCAGTAGTGATGGGAATTCCGGCTCCTTTTAGGGAGCCGGTTCTTTTGGCTCGGCTCCCTAAAAAGAGCCGGCTCTTTCGGCTCCCAAATGGCTCCTCAGTTTTTTTGTTGCTTAAATTAATTTACTCCCATAAATAATGAAAAATTATGTGTAAAATGAATTACGAATGTAAAAAATACACAGTATATCAAATATTTATTATTTATATGGCTTTATATTCTTCTGAACATACTCAACATGGCGTACAACATGGAGTGCTACAAAAAAATAAATTACAAAGTACAAAAACAAAGACCCATCTCAAAACAAGGTCAACAAAAAGTTCCAATCTCTGATTGTGCATATTTATAAGTGTTTAAATATTTACAGTAAAACAACATAAGTAAGCTTTGATTACCAAACAACAAATTATAAATTAAAATTTGATCTTGGATATTTTAACCTTGCACAGTCTACACGCTGCCTTTGAACTATCAATTAAGTTGAAATCAGTCCAAATTTCACTGCGTTGCCTATCCATTTTCTCACCTTTCCACTTTCCACCGTGTAGTTTTTTTCTCTGTACTGTAGCGCTATCGAGCTCTCTCTCGTCTCCCTGTCTCTCCTGTTCGTGTGCTGCTCACAGTGTGCTGCTGTGTCTCTGACTCCTCCCCCTTCTCTTCACTGAAGCGCGCGCGTGTCTGTCTGCGTGTGCGCGTGTGTGTGTGTGTGTGTGTGTGTGTGTGCGTGTGTGTGTGTGCGTGCGTGTGTAACCCTCTCCTCCCTCTTCTCCCACGGATCTTGACCAATCACGTGCAGCTTTAACCGAAAGGGGGGAAAAAACAGGAGGAAAAAAAAAGTCGGCTCCCATTAAAGCGGCTCCCTCTTAGGAGCCGGCTCATGTCGTTCACTTCAAAGAGCCGGCTCCAAGAGCCGGCTCGTTCGCGAACGACACATCACTATATGTCAGCTCTGTTCTTTAAATTATTAGCTTCAGCGTGTTCTACATACTTGGCCAATAAAGATGATTCTGATTCTGATTCAGCTGGCAAAGGTACATGAAACCTGACACACTTGTTTCTTGCAGTCACCCACGCCCCCAAAAATGCCCAATTGAAAACCATTATGAAAAAAAAAACAAAAAAACGCTGTTGTAATATTAGGGGGCATGGTGGTCGGTCGACTTGTTTTTTTTTTTCCATATGTCAACCAGATGATGCTACTTTATCCCATTCAAACCATGATGCAAAAATGTCGTAATTTTTATTGGTTTGCATTACTGAAAAGACAATCATATTATGTGATAGTGGAATTTTTGACCAGAAATGAACCTGCTAAGTATGTAATGTTCAAGTCCTCGTTTGTTTTCTTGTACACCCAAATTCTGTAACTCCAACCACAAATAGTAACCCTTCTTTCTTATGTAATTTCTAGTTAGGGTTAAATTATCCTAAACTTGTTCCAACTAGTGACAACAACAAAAAAGACATCCCATTGAAAATAAAAAAAATTATTCATTTTTTTATCTCCCCCCCAAACTATTGCAATCAACTCCCATTCGAAGAATGCAACAAATTGTCAAGCAAGGAATTCCACGCTTGCTGAAATGATGATGAATCATACGGTTTGACCATGAACCTACCAAGTATATTTCTTTCAACAACCAAGTCCCAGTCTCCCCCCCACCCCCACCCATAAATCATAAGATTGGAACTTTTAGTAGCATTCAGTATCTCTTATGTTCACCCATACAGCTTATCCTGAACAGGGTCGCGGCGGCATCCTGAAGCCTATCCCAGCTGACTTCGGGAGCGGAAGGCGGACGACGTCCTGAACTAGTCAGTCGCTGGGCACATGAAGAGATGAAGAAGCACACACAGCCACATTCACCCTGGCACTGAATGGGGACCGATTCTCCGCTGCCTGCACACAAGGCAGGCGAGTGTACCACGACACCATCAGTGGTATCTCTTATGTAATCCACAAAAGATCATGGGAGGCAACTGGACTTGTGACCCGAAATGCTTCAGTTGTAAATCTTAGATATCGTTTTTCTTCAGTAATCTCGATCCTTTAAATTCAAATGAAAAAGTTGAATGCGTCATTTTTGATGCCATATAACTCTGACCATCACTCACCTCTGGACTGTGTTAGAATAAAGTGTGGGGCAGGATCTTTTTTTTTTTTTTTTCTTCAGAAGACAAGCCGCCTGTTTCGATTTTCCTCTACAAAAGTGTGATACTGAGCGAAGCAGCTCACTTTCTACACCGCCGCAACGGTGTTGAGAGATGTCTCCGTGACATCTGAGCCAGAGTGGCGAACTTCATTAACCTACCTGTACGGCAGTGGGTTATCTTCTCGAGCAGTTGTGGTCTCGCCGAGGCATGTCTCTAACTGAATTTCTTCAGATGTTTAATCAAATTCCTCGTGTTGAAAGTGCTCGCCTTCAGCCATCCTCTGGACAATTTTGCAGGGCATAATTTGCAGTCGGCTTTCGTGTTGTTGGAAGTGTTTACCTTGCCACGAGGCTGACTTCCGACTCCAGTTGTGGCTTTCATCAAAAATTTCAAAGCTACTACTTCTCCCCTCGTTCAGGGCATTTGGCAAAATGTCACAAATTTTACTGTTTCCCAAAAGGGTGGCTGGTTACTGTAATAAAAAGGACGTGTCTTTATCGAACATCCGAGTGAAAATGCAATGAATTCCACTTTGAAGTTATTGCAATCGTTTGCTGTCCGATCTATAATTTGAACATTTCCTCCATTCAAAGCATGCAGCAACATTTCAAGCAAGGGTGACTGCTAACTGAAATGATACGCATGTCACTATTATGTCAGTCAAATGTTTGATTATGGTTTAGCCTGCCAAGTATGTCGTGTTCCGCACCTAAAGACCGCCCTCATTTTTGTTCTTTTACACCCAAATAACTGCAAACAGAAATTATAACCCCGTCAGTGTTGTGACTTCTTGCTGCAAGCTTTGACTGTGTAAATAGTAGCGCCATCTGGTGGGCTAATCAGTTACCTATAAAACTATCGATGATGTGATGAGTGTCAGCTGGTTGGTGGTGGTCTGCCTGGGTGGTGTCACAGGCGCACAGCTGCACACAAAATAATTCGACCAACAACATGCTTATTTATATACTGGACCACCCTCACCCGGACCTCCTGTTCACTGAATGAACGCTCACTCCATTGAAGGAAGGTCATTCCTATTCTTTGCTGTTTGAGACATCACTTCACATATTCATATTCCCGCTGCCTCAATGTTGGGAGCTGTACAAAAACAAACAAACAAACAAAAAACTGTGAAATAGCTTCAGGCTAGTAAAATAGCCCGATGTTAACATTCATATGCTGTAAATTAGTTGTATGAAAGGAATGATTTTAGTGTTGCTGGACATCCAACAAGTGCCAGTGGCCAATTATAATATTTGGGATTGATGGTACAAGATCTGAATCAGCCTCTCCTTAGGCTGCACTTATTAGTCCCATAGTGCCCCCTGCTGTCCATAATAACACACGATCATACACTTAGGTCTGTTTTCTTTTAATTTGAACTCAATGAAATGGCAACAATAATTGTTTTTTTTTCAAACAGGGTTAAAAAAAAAAGTCACGACTAATAGTAAAACAAACCTTGAAAAACAAATACTCACTATACATTGAAGTATGTACAACACGGTCGATAAATAAAACAATACTGACTAGCAATATGATTGTTTTGTTTCGATTCTCTACATATTAGTGCACCGAAAGGAGTGGAAGCGGAAGAAAGATACATCAGGCACTCATAATCATGGAAACGGCGCGTTTTGGTTTGAAAACCTGAGATGAGCCATCGTTGAACGCCTATCAGTGGCCCTCTGAAGCTTCTGTATGCAATTTGCGCACAAACATCCTGTAGCAGTGTGCTAGATATCGTCATTATGATTAAGATACGGGACTGATTTGTTATCGCTAACCAGCAGCATTTCTCTGTACAACATTAAATAAAGGGAAACTTGTATTTGTTTGTTTTGATGTTCCCCCTCACCCCTTCTATAAAGTCAACCGATTGTTGGCATTCCCCAACATTTGCATACAAAAGCAAGAGAGGGGGGGAAAAAAAAAGGAATAAAGCTCTAAAAAGACTTATCGAAACATGTTAAAGCCTTTTCTAAAAAGTTCTTTTGCTTTTCCTTATGAGGAGTATTTTGTTGCCACGCGTTCAGACCCGCTGAGTTCGATGTGCTGCTTGGTGGAGTGAGTGTTGAGCGGGGCTGCGTGACAGATTCGTTTTTTTTAGAAAGCAGTGGGCTATTCGGAACCCCCCCCCCACACCCCTTGTGACTCCATCCTCGCGAGCTGAGTCCCAAAAAGCTCGGAGAACGCCCCCATCTGCTCCTTCAAGTGCAACAATGGCGAACGTGGAGAAGCTCCTCAGTGCCTCTTCATGGACGACACCTTCTTTTTCCTGGCAGCCAGCATCTCGTAAAAGGGGTCTCTGCTGATGGCGGCCCTGCGGACACCATCCAAATTCAAGGATTAGTGATTATTTTTGACTATTTACAAGGGGTTCTTAAACTCGGGCCGTCACATACTTGATGCTGTTCATCCATTCGTCCTTCTCCTCAGCCGTGGGGGCCGAGATGCGGTAGAAGGTGTGGTTGCCCTCCACCACGCGACCGTCTGCCTCCGTCTTGCAGGCTTTGATCACCTGGTCTTTGTTGTCGGGGATGAAAAGCTCAAAGCAGTTCTGCGGCGGATGGAGACACCACACACACATGGCGGGTTACTGACGACAGCGATTCTGAGTAGAACTGCACCGGTGAACGAGGAACTTTTGTCGAAATCTTCAGTGTTCAGTGTTTTGTCTTGGAAAAACTTGACACCATCAAACTGGGAACTTTGAGGAACTGCAACTTAGGCGATGAATTAGAGGAACTATTGCTTTACCTTGGAATTAAGAACACTTTTTGAGAAATGAACGTAACCTCAGAACAAAGAACATTTAGGAGGACTCTTGTGTGTGAATGGGGGCAACGAGGCACTTGGAGGAACCGCACCATTGACCCTAAAATGAGAAACTTTTGTAGGAACCTTGAAGGGCTTTTGTACGGCAGGAATTTGACCCTCAAACTTGGAACTTTACCACAGAATACGTCTTTGGTGATTTTACACTGCTTACCCCAGAACTAAGAACTTTTAGGGGAACCTTGGGTGTGCCACACCCATAAACCAAAACGAGTATCTACTTTTGCCAGTGAAATGATCGGTTGGTACGGGCGCAGCGGAAACGTTGCCCTTCATGTTTCCGTGCAGTAAGAAAATGAGGTAGAAGAGGGGCGCTGGTGCTTACGGGCTTCTTGTCCTCTACCTCCCTGATGCTGAGGTTCTCCAATGGGATGATCCCCCGCGGTTCCTTGTCCTGCACGCGCCGAGACACAAGCAACATGAAGGAAACGCCATCAGAGGAGTACGAACCCTCAAGTAATACTCACCGTCGTGTACTCAAAGTAGTAGAGGCAGTTGTCGGTTAAGATGAACCATCTCCTCTTCCAGGTCTTTACTCGGCCTCCTGCGGAGCAAATCAGAGCAATCAAGGGAGGCTCAGTGGGAGAGAGCAGAAAGAGGGAAAAAAAAAAAAAAAAAAAAAAAAAAAAAAAAAAAGGACAAAGCGCCGACTTTAGCAACACGCAGGCGGACAGACGTGAGCAGACAAGACAGATGGAAGCTGCCGACAACTCCCCCACTCACAAAACGGTGCAGCTGGTCCTACCATGCACTCACCACCACCACCACCACCACAGGTAGAAAGGAACGTCGCTTACAGACGAGACTCCCGGCTTTTATGAGGTCACTGAAAACTTTCTGCTGGACCAGGAAACATACATCTCACAAAGACTCAGTATGGGGACGACTCCACTTGCATACAAATACCGGATTTGCGTCCGTAAGACGACAGCTGGGGGTTGTTTACTCAACTGCATTACGAAACGATAAAGTGGAACCGGAGTTCAAAAGGACGACTACCGTTTGACTGACGTTGAAAATCCGAGTGAAAAACGACATCTGAAGCTTTTAATCATCAGGTCTCTCGTTACAAGACCTCTCAGCCCTTTCACGCCCGGGTGGGAGCTTTCATTAACTCGGGCGTCACTGACCCCACCCGACCTCTCACCTTCAAAACGGCGGGCTCGTTTCCTCTGCGGTGGGGGGGAAACCTGATCCGCGCAGGCAGATGGCAGCCTCCCGTTTTGCTGCGAGGAGAATGCCAATGAGGGTTGGGAGCCTGCCGCTACATTCTGCTACTCTGAAGCCTCAAGATTACTGT